ACCCCCCCGACCCCAGCTTTCATCCTAATTGACCCCAAACTGTCACGGTGAAGTAAATATGTGAAAGACAGAAAAAAAGATTTAAAAAAAAAAAAAAGAAAAAGAAAAAGAAAAATCTGCTGGAATTTCAGCTGCGATTAAAGCCGTCCAAAAGCATTCATAATGACAAAAAAAGGAGGTGAGGGAAGAGAAGTGCGTGTGTTTCTTATTTGTAAATGCTGGCTTTGGGGGTTCCACTGTGTCTCCTACAGTATGAGGCCTTTATTCAGGCAGTGAGACATGAAACACTCCAGTGTATCTTCAGAAAAAACATCACTTCTTATTTATTTTTTCTTTACCCCAAAGACATAACATATGACAGTTTAATAATTGGGTTTGACCTCACTATTTTATTTAAGTGTCCATGCTTAATCTGTGGTGATTAAATATGATCCGAATGCATCAGTTTCAATTCATCCTGTAATTTTCAAGGATTTACTCGTATAATTCTAAGAATAATTATAATTCAATCCGACTTCCAGGGAATATTTTTCAGCTCATGTTGCAGGAAGTCAGGACGTCTTTTTTTCTTTTATTTCTACAAATGTAGCCTGTTTTTGTTTTGTTTTTTTTTTTTTTCCTCTGCAGGCGTCTGCCTATACAATGTGACGGCTGCACGGCTGCTTGTTGTTGAAATGTGTATCAGCATTTATGGTCAGAGTGCTACAGAGCTGCTGTGGCTGCTGCGAGGCTCAGAGGAGAGCACAAAGCGTCGGACTTGTGCCGGAACGCTGCTATTTACATATCAAACAGCTCCGATCAAGGAGAGCCGAGACATTACCTGCGTGTGTGTGCGTGTGTGTGTGTGTGTGTGTGTGTGTGTGTGTGTGTGTGTGTGTGTGTGAGTGTGTGTGAGCACCGTACAGGCAAAATGCCGATCAGTCATGCAAAAAGGCAGCATACCCGCCCACCCACACCACACCACACCACACACACACACACACACACACACACACACACACACACACACACACTCACACACACACACACACACACACACAGTTAGTACTCTCTCTCTCTTGCCCATTTATTCTATTAATCCCTGACTGAGATGAAAATTCTGATTATAATCCCCGAGGCGCCCCTCATTCAGAAACAGCATCACTAATGTATGTCTCAAAAGAGAGGGGCTTGCATGTGTGTGTGTGTGTGTGTGTGTGCGTGCGTGTGTGTGTGCGCGTGTGCGCGTGTGAAATTTAGTGTGTGAATGGCCATGTCTTCCCTTTCTCTCTCTCTTTTTTTCTCCCCCCCTTTAAACGAAATGTGGTTGTGATTTACAAAAAATTCTTGGCTTGAAAATTGAAATGTAGAATGAATTCTCTCGTGGATTATTTCTGGAGTAAATACAATTTCCTTCTGTCCAGTTATTTGCCAGTCGATTTTCTCATAATTAGCATCGAGAATTTAATCCTGTCCTCTATGGAAAATCTGCGATAATATGTGTGTTAATGAGCCGGAATTGATACGTGGCCAGTGCAAAGAATTATTCATCTTACTGACCAGTGATTTGCGATAAACTCTATTAGCCTATCAATATTAGCTCGTTAGCAGAGATATTATCGATACTCGTACATGATGATAAATCCAGAAATTTCTTGAGACTAATTTTATCAGACGCACTTCTCGCCCCCAAAATTTGTGGTCCTCAGTCCCGCGCTCCGGTCAGACCACTCAGGAGTCATCCTGGCTTCAAGCCCTGTAACATGAGGATTGTTAGCCCATGATCCAGTGATTAGCAATTAGCTTATCATCACCGGTTAATGCCATGCACCTCAATACACATTAGTGCGTTTTTAACACCCATTCATTGTCTGGCTCGGTGTCAGATCTCGCTCTCTATCTCGTGTCTATTCTCTCCCTCCTCTTCTTCTTTTTTTTTTTTTTTTTTTTTCATTTTCTCTTTTGGCTCGTGCATCTGTCTCTCTCTCTCTCTCTCTCTCTCTCTCTCTCTCTCTCTCTCTCTCCCTCTCTCTCGGCAACATTCGCAGTCAATGCAAATCTGGGACAGCCAATTGATACTGAGTCAATTACAGTATGTTTGGTATGTGTGTGTTTCATGCTGTAGCACATCCCGACGAGCCTACAAAGAGATTTCACACGC